CAGAAGCCGTACCTCAAGTACTTCTCCTTCTCCCGCGACGGGAAGAAATCCAAAGACGTCGACATCCCCGTCACCGACCCCACCATGATCCACGACTTCGCCATCACCGAGAGATTCGTCATCGTCCCGGACCAGCAAGTGGTGTTCAAGCTTTCCCAGATGTTCCGCGGCGGCTCTCCGGTGGTCTACGACAAGAGCAAGAAACCCAGATTCGGAATTCTAAACAAATACGCCGGAGACTCGTCGGAGATGAAATGGGTAGAAGTCCCGGACTGCTTCTGCTTCCATCTCTGGAACGCCTGGGAAGAAACAGAGACAGACGAAATCGTGGTGATCGGGTCGTGCATGACCCCGCCGGACTCAATCTTCAACGAGTGCGAGGAGAGATTAAAGAGCGTGTTATCGGAAATCCGACTGAACCCGGCCACCGGAAAGTCCACGAGGAAGCCAATCATTCAAGAAGACATGAACCTGGAAGCCGGAATGGTGAACAGGAATCGCCTGGGGAGGAAAACCCGGTACGCGTACTTAGCAATCGCAGAGCCGTGGCCGAAAGTCTCCGGCTTCGCAAAAGTCGATCTTTTCACCGGAGAAGTGAAGAAATTCATGTACGGAGACGAGAAGTACGGCGGGGAGCCTCTGTTCTTGCCCAGAAACTCTGTAGAACAAGAAGAAGATGAAGAAGATGATGGGTATATATTGGCATTTGCTCATGACGAGAAGGAATGGAAATCAGAGGTTCAGATAGTGAATGCGCAGAGCCTGAAACTGGAGGCGACTGTGAAGCTGCCGTCGAGAGTGCCATATGGGTTTCATGGCACATTCATCAGTTGCAGAGATTTGGAAACCCAGGAAAGCTGCTAGTAGTTCAAATTCTGCTTCTTGGGCAGGGGAGAATTGCCAGAGGGATGGTTTGATCCCCGGAATCTCCATTGTTATGGAAGCTATACATACATGTTTAATAATCTATCTGTGTTTCTTGGTATAGGTACTGTATCAGTAGTTGTTTTAATATATATGGGGGGGATCAGCTTGTAGCATTTGTATATTTGGGTGTAATTATAATTGAAGCTCAGCTGGTTTCTTACTTGGTAATGGTTAATCCCTCCCTAATGAAGCAATGATGATTTCAAGGTCTTTTAAGAAAGATGTTGAAATATGAAAATAAATGGTTAGATTTTATTTGAAAAAGTAAAATGTCTAAATTGAATTGAGTGGGGAAGGAGGGAGTATTTGTTTTTGGATTATTTGATTTTGGCTCCCTTTGCTAATAACATTAGTGTTTGGTCTTAGCGTTTTAAAAAGTTATCCCCACGACAACATTTAAGCTTCATTTGATACACGGAATTCAAATTATAGAATTTAAATTAGGATTAATAATTCCAATTTTGTTGTTTGATAGCACAAAAAATATATGGATTTAGAATTGGTAGTGTCAAAAATCGTAAGAAATTGGATAATTCAATTCCATTCAAATCAATTTTATAGAATTTTAATTTTCAATTCAATTCTAATTTCATCAATTCTGTATATCGCACGGAATTTAGTGTTAGTGTTTTTAAGATTAAGTTACATCATTCAAATTTTATCTAAAATGTTAAGACTAATGAAAAACATTATTTTCAAACAAAACTTTTCACAAAATTTGTGGATAAAATTTAAGAGAGATCTTATCAGATTAAAAGAGATTAACGGCCAAACAATGCTTATTTTGGTGCCATGCATGAAGCATGAGAAACTCTTTTGACCAACTACCTATTGTTGTCCTACTTTACACTAGTATAAAATTTCAGTATGAATTGTGACGATTGTACAGACCCAGTATAAAGTATTTGGTGTACAACTACATATACACTAAATAGTTTACAAGTAGCACAGTTCGAGAGCATATACTAGATAAAATGAAAAAGTATTTTATAATTGGTCAACACTTTTAACAACTATGTTATCATAGTACAAATTTAAGATCGAGCGGTATAACTGTAACTGTATTAAACAGAGATGATAAGTGTATCAATATTTAGAGAGGTGATAAATACTTACAAAGTTAGAGTTCAATTGAATAACTGATTCATCTAAGATAATAAAAAAAAAGAGTAATGCTAGAGTCACAAACTACTAGGACACAAATTACACAAACTTGCTATTTTTGTACTTTTCCAATTGAATAAAGTGATATTAAATGCTTACAAAATGAAAATTGAAATACAAAAATAGCAAGTTTGTGTAATTTGTGTCCCAGTAATTTGTGACTCTAGCATTACTCAAAAAAATATTAGATAAATCTTTACATGGGACAATACTAATGAGGATATATTGAATATTATTGGCAAACTAATTACGTAATAGAAGCATATGACTAGTAAATTGGAAGGTTGTGATTCAAATACTGTATACTTTAAACTTTCTACCCACATTTATTTTTTGAATTATCAACATTACATGTGACTACCGCTACATATTCTATTCAACCAGATAGAATAATTTTTTTTTTTTTTGGATATTTCAAAGGTGCTTAGGGACTTAGACAGGAGAATCCTATTGGATATTTTCACTCGATGTGCCAATCCTTAAACCTAATCAGTGTAGTGTTGGTTAATGATCAAATTATTGCTTGTAAAGTTACTGATTTATCTAAGCCCCCGTTTGGTACACAGAATTCAAACTATTGAATTGGAATTGATGGCTTCAATTCCAATTCTGGTGTTTGATAACACAAAAATTATGTGAATTTGGAATTGATAATGCAAAAAATGAATTGGAATTAGCAGAATTCAATTCTATGGAATTGAATCCCATAGAATTTCAATTCCAATTCTATCAATTTCATATACCAAACGGACCCTAAATTTTTGTTAAAGGTGTGGATAGTCTCTACATCTCGATTGTGAAAGGTTGAAGATATCCTAGAATTTTTTTATTGTAGGAGTAGACACAAAAATTGAGCTTATTGACAAGGGTTATTTGCCAAAATTCGTTTGGTTCTTCTTCGTGAAGCCAAACAAAATTAGTGAAAGGTCAAATCTTTAATGCGTAGTCTTAGGGTATTGCAGTAGGATATCCAAACCAACATAAAATTCACAATCTAACATTTGGGGGATGATCATTAACTATTATCTAGACATTAATATGTTGTTTTAATTACCAATCATGGTATGCATTCCCAACATTTATGTAACGTGATATATACATACATGTTCATATATACGATCGAGTTGTGGAGAAGTCTAATAAAAGACGAAAACGTGCGTTATAATATCCGAATATTATTTGATACAATTGTACGACGTTAGAACTACGTGTACTAATTTAATTGAAGTGGCGTCCATATATCTCTTAATTTGGACGGAAATTGGGATGAAGATGAGACGAAGATCCCTTTTTTTTTAAAAAAAAAAAAAGATCCCATGCGTTGATTTGAGTCGACTCATCCAATATAATGATGTGTCGTCTCACATGATTTGAGGTCGGCCACATTCATCCAATCCAAAGGGGATACCTCGCATATGTACTTTTCCCTCAGTCTAATCTCACCCAAAATTCCCATTTTAACTTTTATGTACTCTAAAAGCATCAACAATGGCCATACAAAAATAAAATGTCACACGGTGACGTGAAATATTTTTACAAAAATAACATGTCACAAAGTCAAAATCAACTTGTGGGGCGCAATTGGAGGGGTGGGGGTGTGTTCGGATTGGGGTGGAGTGGGGGTTTACCGGGGAGGTTAGAGAGCTAGGAACCGTCAATTTTACGAACGGGACACCGGAGCGGCCCCGGGTCATCCCATGACATTGTCATGGGAACCTTGGTGTTTATTCATTATGATGTTTGACCATTTTTATGTTTTACTTATTTGGATATTATCATTAAATTAAAAAAAATTCATATCTAAAAACTACGGAGTATATCAAAGATATTATTTGAAGAAATATGATTGTTTGATTGTAACAATGATCAAGGTAAACCAAAAATAAAAATTACTATGCATGAATTTAATTGTTCAAATGTTTTGAGGCTTATACTTCTTCCATCCCAATTTTGATTACAATCTTTTTTTCACTTCTTGATAATTTTTGTTTCTTTGTATGCTATCATTAATTATTTAATAAAATAAAATATTCTTGTCACTTGAGTCACTTCTTATTTTGTACTCCCTCCGTCCCCATTCTGATTACAATTTTTTTCTCTCCTCTTGATAACTTTTGTTTATTACACAATTTTATGAAATATTTGATAAAATAAAATATTCTTGTCACTTCTTGTTTTTAGAACTTTTAACGTAATTTTTAATATATAATTTTTATTTTTTATTGATATAACAATTTGTAAATAAAATGATTTCAAAAAAGTAGGATATTTTTCCTCGTAAATCCCAATTTGTAATCAAATTGGGGACAGAAGGAGTAGAACTTTTGGGGTATTTTTTTAATATATAAAATTTTTATTTTTTATTGATATAACAATTTGTAAATAAAATGATTTCAAAAGATATAAGGTTTGTGGAGGGATTAGAGAGATAGAAACGACTTCATAAGCATCATAGGGTTTCCAAAGGGACCAAGTGTCATAATATAACACTCATTCCTTAAAAAAATGGGTTTTTTATGACACTCATTGCTAGTGTTAAAGGAAGGAGAATGGTGTTTGGAACACATGTTTTTTCTTAACAAAGAGGCTGTTATTGGTTATAGAGTAAGGTATTGTAAGGTGCCAAATAAAAAGTTTGAAACAGACGTAAAAGAACATTTGGACGTGGCATATCAGAAACCAGAGATTTGATGGTCCAATCCCTTCTTTTGTTTTGTTTCTTTGATATATTTGACTATTGAGGAGTGCCAAAATTGAATGATAATGGAGCACAAGAAAAGAACGTGTAACGTACTATATATTAATTAATTAATTAATTTAATTGTTATTGTTGATGATGGTGCCCTCAATGATACTGAGCCCCACAAGAAGAATAACCAATTAAAATTGTACTAGTATAAGGTTTTAATAATTCACTCAAATATTTAGTAATAAAATGTCTTGGAATCCCAATGACCAAATAAATAAACTACAAGTCCCAACCCCATTGCATAATTATATGTATTATGTAGATTCAGACAAGAGCATATAAAAAAGAGATCAAAGATTTAGATTTGTCTACAGCTGATAAAATCTCACCTGGCCATAAGGTCATTTCTTTATGCCCACATTTCACCCAAGTCTCTGAGAGATGACCTGCATATCACATAATACAGTTCAAATTGGTGTCTGAGAGCAAATCATAGCACAAAGGCAACTACATATTAATTCATGCATTATTAAATACGATCGGCCATTTGGGGTGGGGCAGGGGAGTAGGAACCATCAATTTTTCGAACGGAGCACTGTAGGCCTTGTTGTCATAATATGACACCCTTTCTTGTTGTCAAAAGAAGGGGGCCGTATTGTATAAATCCAAGATCCACGATAGAAGCATTGAACTCTATGCAAAATCCCAAACACATTACTTCTCGTGAACAATGAAAAATACGGCCAAGAAAATCCTATTTTATACAGAGTTATGGAAGTAAATAAATAAGAGCCCCGGGGGGGAGAGAATTGCACTTTCCTGGTTTATTAAGGGCAGGGCATTCTCTTCCCATCCAAAATCCCATTTTGCACAAGATCCTTTTTCTAGCACCCCATTCCTCAAAGATTTCAACATGTTGGATTCCTCGGGGAAGCCCTTGAATAGCATCTGGGGAACAAAAAGAGTGAATTTTTTACAACGTTTTAGCTTCATGTAAATAATGGGCAAAATCAAAATGATGCATTAAACTTCCCTTCTTACTTTCAATAAAGTTTGGGTGGTAAATGCATCAATGCATCGAGGGTCAAACGGAAACAACCCCATTGTTTTTACAAGGTTGCGTACATTTAAATCTGGACGATGTTTTCATGTGACATCACAACAAATGGAGTTGACTTATAATAGGGGTCGATCTAAGACTGATTTGAAGTAACTTTCTCATCTTTCAAATAAATCTGGACAGACGCTGTAACTCTACTAATATGGAGTTGCTCCAAGGATTTGTTCGCATATATCGCCACTTCCTACCAATGTTCACTACATTGAAAATTTGCTCCTAAAGTGAATGGAAAAGCTTATATGATAACGGTGGTTTCCCTCAAGTTGAAAAGTTTAAATGACAACGGCGGTTCTCAATATGGGTGTATCTTAGAAGTGATTTTAACTATGTTTCACAAAACAAGGTAATAAGTTAGTTGCTAGCTAGAAGTTAAGTTAATTAACAACTTAAAACCAATAAGTTAGGTTGGTGTTTGGTAAAATTTAGCTGATAAGCTAGATTAAATATAAAATTGACATGTTTAAACTCTAAAGTGATTTTAAGATAAAAATGGGCTAAAAATGGAATTATAAACGAAGAGCTCATCAACATTTTGAGAAGCTACTAAACAGGACCACAAAAGCTTATTAAATAAGCTCAAGCATATCAAATGAGTTAACCAACAAATAAAGCTTATTTGAAAAGTTTCCCTAAAAATGCTAATAAACAATTTATAACCTAACCTCGTGTCATGTTAAAAATAAACAAATAAAACCATAACAATGGAGTAAAACCAGTGGTATAATACAGGTTATACAGTTCCTTCCCAGAAAAAACACCAAGAGGTTACATTAAATAATTATCCAAACATAAATGAAGAACTCACCATGAGCTCATCCGCTAGTTCCGATGAAGTAGAGAACAACAACCCATTCTGTTCAACTTGTACAAGCTCCTTGATGCTTCTCAAAAGTTTATAGACACATTTATAAGCATGAAACCGATGTATTAAAAAAATCTTCTTAAAAACAAAACATTTTTCAGCATCAAACCCGTGTAAGAAATGGGCCCAGTGTACTCAGAAAAAAAGGGGGTAAACCCATATTCATACCAAGAGTAGGATACGGCACAAACTGGCAATCCACACCCAAACATATCCACAACCTAAATTTGAAAAAAACATTTGGGTAAAATGAAATAAAATTTTCATGCATAAACAAATATTGCAGCTAGATATGAATACTCAGTAAAAAGAAAACAGAAAAACCTTCATTGGAAGATCCAAACCCGAAGAAGAAGTGTGGAGGCAAACTCCAAGATCGGCTGATCCTACACCATCAAATATACAGGCTGGAGACATAGATACATATGAGATGATTACTACCACAAATATAATAAAAGTACATACCAAGAAGCATCGGATAGTCCTCTGCTGGAAGCCACATTGTACGAAAAGCTACACGCTTGAGATTCAGTTTTATGATCTTTTGCTCATATTTTTCTTTTTCAGGTCCTTTGCCTTCATTCATATCAAAGAGCCCAAATTTTGTCAGGTTAAAAATTTCACATTGCCATTAAAACTAACGAGGGAAAACCTATCTTTACACACGAGCAGTGGTTACCAGTAATAATGAATAACAACCTTGGGTACAAAAATTGTTTCCCGTTCCTAATTTCCTCCCAAACAAGATCCTCCCCGTGCGAGTCATCCTCATTAAGAATCGCAGCAACCCGTCTATCATACATGACAGCCGCTTCCAAGAGGATTCCGAAATCCTCATCTGGGGTCCTGAAAACAGGCATTTCCACAATTGAAACCTTAATCATCTGGTAGACATATGAAAAAATTGAACTAATAGTAATTTTGAAAAGAACTAACCAGCTTGTACTGCTTACTATGAGGGCTGGTCTGTTTTGCTTAAAGTATATATCATTTCCAACCAGATTTGTAAACGGTGTTGTACTGGATTCAACATTGTCTATCCCCAGTATTTCTGCATTTATTAAATCTTCAGTGGGAAACTTAAATATCAATATCACCCGACGAAATATGTATATAGACTACATTACCATAGGTTAGACAGTCATGGGAGCCATAGGGCTGGCTTAGGCTTTTACTAATCCTACAAAACAACTACATCCCGAACAAGAGTTGACATTATCAAGACAGGAAAATTCATTAAAGGTATGTTTCGCATGGAATTTCAGCGTCACCTTATGTTTCTCCTCAAGAGATGCCGGTCGAAAGAATTCAGGAGAGTGATCATACAGAACAGTGGCACTAAATTTTTTGGTACCCATTGGGAAAAAAGTCAGTCATCAACAAAATACCCAGCGAGTATGAATAATTGAAATGATGTTCAGACAAATTTGAAGTCATGTCCTTACCTTATACTCCAATTTTGAGCCAGTTCATGCTGCATTGCCTTTGTCACACACAATGACCCCTTTGCCATTCTCCCATAATACTTTTCGATCCTAGGCATAACTTTAGAAATTATAATACATAAAAATACAGAGAATATTATATTACAATATAAATATAAAATGAAATTTAGTTACCAATGATAAAGACTGACAAATAGGCTGTTCCGGCCAAGGGACAATGCAAGGAGTGTGTATCCAAAATTATGCCAATCTATTATGAATGCAGAATTTCTAAACCAGCTTGCCCAATTTACAGCAACCAATGTAGGAACAGAAGGGGGATTCTGTAGATGTTGAAACGGTTAGATAAAACTAAAGATTGAATATCAAAGTATTAAGGCGTCAATTCATAGAATTACATAATATAAAATGAAAAACAAAAGAAGGGAATTCTCACTAAAATAAAATTTGACCGAACTGAAAGAATTCACTATCTTTGTCTTAGGAAAGGAAGGGTTTTAAGTCAAACAGACTATAGAATATCTACAAGCATATAGGCATAGTCTCACAACTCACCTGCACTATGAATACATCGGGAGCAGGAATTTTGACACATAGATACCAGAGAAGTGTCACAAACTGAACCAATGCCTTGAGAATAAGCATAAAAGGACGTAGCATTTTGGGTAAAGATTGAGGGATTGATGGCCACATTTTCTGCAAGAATCAAAACAAACCATTAGGAAAATCACAACTTGCAGGAAGTGAGCTTTAATCATCTTATTTTTTAAAATTTACCATTCTATGAATGTGAATAGAAGGATGCTCTAAAACAGCACAATGGGGGTCAGAGCCTGCTCAAAAAGTTGATTATCATAGATTAGAAGGAGATGAATAAAATTGGCCAGAGAACTTTTCAAACTGTACATTCTTGTTGTGGAAAAGGAAGAAAGAATACAATGACACTCTACTCTTTCCTAAACCAATCCTTTTTTCTCCAAGAAGACCTTACTTATTCACTGAATATTGTATCTGTTTTTGCAAACTTCACAGAGTCATCAGAAACTAGTTCAAGAATCTAACATTGTGGAGATAATTTTCTAAAATTATTTGTCACGAACCTCCATAGGCGACAATATCGACCTCTAGATGAGCCTGCACAAAAGTACAAAGTCATAGGAAACATTGTATTCCATGGCACAGATCTTCAAAGCACAGGCATGAAGCTCTAATGTATCAAGAGAGCCAAGCACCCACACAAATTACTGATCTTAGATGAATAAATAAGATTTACAATAAAATCCCTCATTGTATAAAATTAACAATGAAACTGCTAATCAGTTAAATCTATGGAAACCTACAGCCACATGCATCTCACCATGGAATCAATGCTCATCCATAACAGAACAGATGATTTTCACTTCAAAAAAAGCTTGTGGTATGTTTGGGAACATGGATTTGGATTTCAAATCCGGATTTGGCTCAAATTCCATGTTTGGGAAACTTACAAAATTTGAATTTGGATTTGAATCAAATTCTTCTCATCCATAACAAAGCTTAATTTTAAATCCATGCGCCTTCCCTTGTCATTTGAAATTCAAGATTTCAAATTTTGGAATTGAAATACATGAATTGAAATGAAATCTTAGTTGCCAAACACTACCTTAAGGAATTCGAAATCTAGCAATGCAATTACATTTATGTGTTGGTTTACAAACCTGGCGAGCTAGAGAAAGAGCATGGTATTGCATCCGAGGACTGCGGCCGATATCCCCGAGAACCACTACTGCCGCCCTACCTCTCCGCCTCATCTTCGCCTGATTCATTGCCTTTTGGACCATTGTTTTTTAGTTGAAAGCCGATCCCGAAATTACTTTCTAGGATTATTATATGCTACTGGTGGAGGTTGAATTTGCAGGAAGCTTTCTCGAGTCTTGAGTTATATCTATCCCTTTGTATTAAAAAAATTATTACAAATGATACTCCGCATATTAAAAGTATTCATTGATACAAATTTTGTTTTGTACTTTTAGATTTCAATTTACATTGTGGGTCAGTTAACACTGGTCTATGGTGACACTATGGCTTCACTGCCTATTAAGGGAACCTACAAATTCTACAATGCTCCATTTGCAAAATTGATGATTCCTACACAATCTGACCCCTCTTGCCTTCCACCCCAACCCCTGCCCCCAGAATCACCCACACAAAATTCCTCTAGCGAATCGGCTATTCCGGGGAGGTGGGGACTGGGAGCCGGTTGCCACAGAGGGTTAGGAAGGAGGTTAGAATGGTAAGAACAATCAATTTTGGGAACAGATCACTATACTGTCATCCGTTTGACACTGAAAATGAGTCATTAGAACAAATCGTTCAAGTAAACATTGAAGATATTTCCTAGTCTTTACAATCCAATCTAGTATGACGTTGGGATAAATAAAAATAGACATCGCCTCATGACACACAGCATTTTCTAAGTAGGTATGGGAGAAACTTTAGACAAGGAGAAGGAAAGAGGGAGGCTGATAGATACGGAGATTACAGATTAGAGTGGGATCGGAGGGCAGAATAGGATACCTGAAGAGTGACGCCGGGGAGTTGCCGTCGGCGACGTCGATCGGCAGCGAGTCTCTCCCTCTCTTTATCGGCTTTTCCTTTCTTTTATTATAGCGGAGTACTCAGTGCTTCATTTATTTAATTTGGGCCTGGTCCAAATCTAGATCTTATGACTTGCAGGTTGGCTTTACATTTTTGGGCCGGGTCGAATTCAAGATCTTAATCCCGCGCTTTCGATAAAATTTTTATTTTAATTTTAGCATTTTGAAAAATTTACAATATACTTCATATTTTATAAACATAAGTAGAAATAATATTTTAATAAGTCTCTATAATGTAAATTTAAAACTTTATTTGGAATTTTTCACTCCCTCGTCCCAAATTAAATTGCATGTTTAGTATTTATATGGTCAAATTTCAATCACTTTCTTTCTCTATTTTCGTTAGTCATCTCATACAATAAAATATTTATGTCACTACTACTTTTGTAAATCTTTTAATATAGTACTTTAATATGTAATTTTTATTTTTAAATTCTACACCATTTTTCATGATTTGAAAATGATTTCACTCAAACATCAAAAACTGAAACAAACGATATAAGTTGGGATATATGAAGTAAATTTTAAATTTTAAAAAAATACATATTTTTGAAATTATTATTACTCATATTACTATCACTATTATCAAGTATTATTGATACGTGTAATGGATTTTTATAAGTTATATAAGTATCTGTTTTAAAAGAGACATTCATACAGCATCATGTATACTTATCTATTTAAATTTGAACTCTAAAAGTTTGTATGTATTTAAAATTTAAATAAATAAGAAATCCTACCGTTTAAATTACAATATAGATAATTATTTAAAAAGTAATTGCTAGCTTGATTTAAAAGTTTATTATATAAATAAAATATAATTTTTTAAAAAAATTAAAACTTGGCTTTATATGTGTCAAGTACAAAGTTAATCACATACTCCCTCTATCTCCAAAAGATGCCACAGCTTGATCAAAAAAGTCAAGCTGTGGTAATCTTTTAAAGACGGATGGAGTATAAGATAAATTACAAGTTAATTTGGAAAGTCATATGGAATGTCACATGTACACTAAGAAGCTAAGGGGGTGTTTGTTTTTTGGCCAGAAGAGCTTCTGGCCTCTTTTGTCTACGTCGGGCAGACGCGCGCAGATGCTGAGCTCTGCAGGTTGTTTGTTTTTTGGAAGACATTTCACTCAAAAAGGTCTTCCTGACATCTTCTTGGAGAAGACATTAACTTATGTCTTCTAACATCTTCTCCATTTTTTTCTTCTACTTCTCTTCACCACCACCACCGTCCACCACCATCACCACCGTCCACCATCACCGCCACCGTCGTCCACCACCACCGCCACCGTCCATCACCACCGTCGTCCACCACTGTCCACCATCACCGTCCATCACCATCGTCGTCCGCCGCCACCACCGCCACCACCACCATCGTCCACCATCACCGCCGTCAACGTCCACGACCACCCTTCACCACCACCCTCCATAACCACCACAATCGTCCATACACTACCACCATTAATTTATATAGCAGTCTACAGACATTAAAAAACAAACAGTCTTCTTCTTGCAGACCGCAGACCTTCGGTCCACCACTTCTCATGCAGATGTCTACAGTAGTGCTCCGCACACTACAGACCTTTTCCTGCAGAAAAAACAAACACCCTCTAAGTGAACGCCACATGTGCACTCACGGCTGGATTCTCAAAATTCTCGCAAGAGGTACTTTATTTGTTATATTTTTTCAAAATTAAGATAACTTTGTTTCAAGTTTAAAACGAAGTACCTTTTTGTTATTACAATCTTCAAAGTTTCCTATAAGGGCAGTGGAAATAATTTTAACGCTCCCCCTGCCTCAATAGATTTAAAAATGGCCCCCTTTGTAGTTATAGCCGGCGTTATTTGGTTTGCGTTAAATTTTTGACGCGAAAGAGAAGAGGAGAGCAGATGGAAACAATTTTTTTAAACAAATAAATAAACTTTTTAAAAAATAAAAACATTGGAAATAAAAAAACTTTTTTACTCTATAAATAAAAAAAAATAAACTCCTTTTAAACTCTATAAATAAAAAATAAACTTTTTTTACTCTACCAATGAAGAAAAAATTGCCAAGAAATTCGAAGTCTAGAAAGAACTTTCAACATTCTCTCTTATTTTTTAAATTTTATCATGAATTCTCCATTCGTTCTTGAGTGTTTTTTATTATGGTAATCATTTTTGCTTTTTTAAATTTATGTAATTTATTTATTGAATGTATTTTTTATTTAATAAACTATTGTGATTTAAAATTTGTATATTAAAAAATAAAAAGAGAAAGGTTTAAAGCCCTGTATTCTCAGTGAAACTGTAGTGTAAGTTAAAAGTGATTAAAATTGATGTGGCAGAGAGAAAGTCTATAGCCCCAATATTCTCCGTGCTTCTTTTATTTTATTTATAAGTAATGCTATCATTTGGAGTACATTTTTTAAAACTAATCTAGTTTATGTTTTTAGAAGAGGTGATCATAAGATGTGGTTCAATTCACATAAGAATGGAAAGCATATGTTATCTTTACTTGTTGAACGAAATGTTTGTTCTTTTTAAAATTAATCTTGTTTTCCTTCTTGAATATTTGTTCAGTTTTGACTCTTTAAGTCAATCACTTTCAACCTTCGACTAATAATTAAATAAAATCTTTACGGTATATTAATTAGATATAATAATATTTTGAAAATATTTTATAAAATAAATCCAATAAAATTGTTTTTGTATCAATATTTAATATCAATTATATTTAAATACTCCGTAATAGTTAAAATTTGTCAATTTTGACTGCAAAAAGTTAAAACTAGACAAATATTCAGAGAGGTAATACAATTTGACCAATATTCGTGTAAAATGTACAAAGTTACTAAATGAATCTTCTGGAAAAAAAATCAAAAGATGACCAGATACAGATAAATATGAACTATTTCATTAAAATTGTTTTAAATTACATTTTCAGAAGAACTGAATACAATTAATCTTTTATTCTTTTGTGGCTCTCAACACTAATATGGGTGGACTTAGTTGCTTTAGGCCAAGTTCTTAGAGAGGGGTTGGATTGAACCTTTTTCTTTTTATTAAAATTTTGGGAAAAAGACTAACGTAAGAATAAAACATTAAAAATATACTAAAATAGAACTTCCATGTTTTTATTCCCGAAGCAGGAGTTAAAATGCATTTATATTACTAAACATGGTCATGTACATTACCAAAAAGTATAGTAATGTGTAAATGTACACTGCCACATTACAATCGCATTACCACAGTGCGAAGTTTTCTTTCGGGAATAAAAACATGAAACTACTATTTTGATACTTTTTCTATGTTTTAAGGTGATTTCTATTAAAATTTCTTCTACTTCCGAGTGTGAGATAGAAGTGGTCCCAAGTCCCAACAAAAACATGATAACTAGCTCAATCTTTTTTTAAAGAAACTAGAAATAAGATTATAAAGAAGCATAGTGTTGACAGCCTAAAACTATCACAATTATGGACATATTATCCCTCCATTCTTAAATTCAATTCTCATTTACTTTCAATGCAATTTTAGACAAAAACTGTGGAACTATCCCGCAATTATAAACAAAAATGAGAACTTGAGGCACATATAAGAAATGAAAGATTTGAACTGGTTAATAAATTCATTCCACCCATAAAAGGTCAAAACCAAATTAAAAACTAAGTCACATCTATATAAACACATATCCACTTACACCACAGCAGTACTATCATGTACATATTAAGGTGTTTTGGTGTAGGAGAATGCTAGGGTGCCACCACATGGGTGCTACCATGGGTGCACCCATGCTTCACATAGACAACACAGACAATTATCATCTGTATTTGTCTGTGTGAAGCATGGGTGCACCCATGGTAGCACCAATGTGGCGGCACCCTAGCATGGTCCTTTGGTGTATTAGTGTATATTTGTTGTGAAGTGTGGACTGTATAGTACATAAGGTCAGTTGTTTATGAGTTTTATACTAAAATAATCTAAATAAGGAATTAAGGGCAATGGCTAAGAGAAGTAAGGGCAGTTCCCATTGCATTAAACAAAGGTATTAAAGGCAGAAGGTTTGTTAACACAGCAAAGTATATGTTTATACATATATATAGCTTAGTGTGGCATTATATTATTGGACAATATTAACATATTAACACCCCTACAAAAGAGGGGGGGGGGAGCCATTTATGGATGAAAACAGCAAGACACCATGGTTTCAAGAAGTGCCCATCTTGTCCCTTCGCACTTGGGCAAACTCAAAGACCTTATGGGGATTTGGGAGAGACTTGGAGACACTCTCCCTCTCCATGCACCTCTTAGCCCAGGCAATCAGCTTGGGGCACTCTGCCTCTATGCTGAACTTGCCAAATGTCTCAAAGACATGAAACCAGCTGTAGAATCCTATGAGAGAAACATCAACAAACCCAAACCTGTCTCCCCCAAAGTATGGCTTCTCTCCCAGTTCTCCTTCCAGCACCTTTAGTTGTCCTAGAAAATCCTTCTTGGCCGCCTCCTGTTCTTCCTCTCCCTTCGCAGTCCAGGTTTTCTTGCTAGAATCATAAACCTGCAATCATAACAAATTACCTAAAAAAATATATTACTTGGATACGATTTAGCCATTTAGGGTATTTATTTTCAGGGATTTGCCACTGAGACAATTCGTCGAACACTTGGAGGGCATACCTTCTGGTCAATGTAGTTTGCCCAGAATCTAGCCTGGGATTTCGCGTAGGGATCAGAGGGGAGCAGCGGGTACTTTCCCTTCCAAACCTCATCAATATACTCCACTATGATCGTAGATTCACAGACCGGCTTGCCGTTGTGGATGAGAACCGGGATCTTCTTGTGAACCGGGTTCATCTCGAGAAGCAGCTCGCTCTTGTTGCTGTGTAGATCTGCTTCTTCGATGCACAGGTGCTTGATCTCCTTCTCAGCCAGAGCGATTCTTACCCTCATCCCATACCTGCTTGCCCAGAAATCCAACAATATCACCTCAGAGTCTTCAGCCATTCTTTCACCCCCAATTCAAGAAGAAGAAAAACGGTAAATGGCGCGAAAGAAAAGAGGAAGAATGCTCCCAGAAAGCAGAGGTATAGGCGTATAGCTGATCGGAGATGGTGGCGGGTTTTTAAATAGCAGGACGGAGATGGTGGAGGTAGGGGAAACTGCGTTTGAATTTTGATTCTAATCCAAACAGCTGTTTTCACAATGGCCGAATCCTTCTAGATGAACAATTGTTTAATTTGCTTCTTCTTCTTTCGAAAACATTTTTTTTAAATAAAGAGTATTAATTTTATTTAATTACTTATCAAGTTTGTATATTGACTATATTCCAAGTATAAAAGGTTACTCCGTCCTAAATTTTACTTTCCAGTTTGACTTTTGTAGTCAAACTTTTTAAACTTTAATGGTATATTACGAAAAAAATACATTAAATTTTCATATAAAGTTATTATCAATAGATTTATTTTGAAATATAGTATTTGAAATATATAATTTTTATTATATATATATATATATATATATATATATATATATATATATATATATATATATATATATATATATATATATATATATTGATGGTCATAGTATCGCATTAGAGACCGTGAAAAGTCAAATGAGAAATTAATTTTAGAACGGAAGGAATACTAGAAATGGAAATAGTCTTTCGTTTTTCATAACAAAATTTCACACCTTTTTGCCTGGTTTTGTACAAGATCTCACACCTTTTTACAAAATTTCATACCTTATTTACATTACGTTTCTCTTTTAAATTATACTCCAGGAGTAATATTCTATTTTTGAAAAAAATTAAGGACAAATCAAATCATTAAGGACAAGTCAAATCATTAAGGTTAAGGAGGAATCAAATCGTTATAGAGAGATGGAAGGGAGGGTAAAATTGTTCAAATGGTGTTAAAATTAGAACTTTATATTTCTTTTTGGAACATAAATTAAATGAAAATTGTAATCAAATTAGAGAGAGAGAAAATATATGATTCCTAAAACTCACAAAACATGCTCCTAGTGTATTTTGTTATGAGTAAATTACATAATTAGTCTTTTATAACATGGAGGTTTTCATATTTAGTCCTCTATTATCAAATATTACTCTCGTAGTTCTTTTTTGAATAAATTCTATAATTGGTCTTTTATAACATGAGGGTTTTCCCTATTTTGTCCTCTATTATCAAATATTACCTCAGTGGTCCTTTTTTTATGGGTATCTTTCCACAAATAGTCCTTTTTTGATCTGTTATCATGTGGAAGTTAATTTGAGGGCTAAAAGTGCAATTTCACAATGATAATATATCTTTTTTATCATACACAATTCCAAAAGTTGTTTTGTTTGCGTCATTTTTGAATTACATTCGCTTTCTACGACAACCACAGTTTACAAATGTAGTCTTTCGTCGGAATCCTAGCCCACAATCATAATTATTATTTTTGTGTTATCCGCTTAACCAATATCAGAACACGTCAGTAGACATAATGTTGATGTCAAATTATAGTTTTAGCTTTCAAATTAACACCCACATGGTGGAAGATAAAAAAAGAACATTTGTGGAAAGGCACCCTTAAAAAAAGAGTAAATTCCATAATTAGTCCTTTATAATAGGGAGATTTCCATATTTAGTCTTCTATTATCAAATATTACTCTCGTAGTTTTTTTTAAGGGTGCCTTTTCCACAAATGATCTTTTTTTATAAATATAACACTACGAATAAGAGAGAATAATTTTTAATTTTAGTTACACACAACTTCTTCCATCCCATAAAAACTGTCTATTAATGATTATGAAATACAAGAGCTTTCAAACATAAATATATCTACATTCATTCAAAATCTAACGAATTTAATTAATCTTAATAGACAGTTATTATGTAAAAAAATTTAGTCATTATCAATCAGTCATTATTCAAGTAAATATTGGACATTATTTCTTCTTCTGGACATTATTAAGTACTACCTCCGTCCTAATTCAACTTTCCCACATTGAGTTTTTCCCAATTTTAAGAAGTTTATATTTTAACGTTTGACTTCCCATTTTGCTCTTAGTAAAAATTTAAGGAAATCGGACGGTTTGCTGGAAGCCCGAATCAGCCTACACCACGTTCTTGGCACCAAGATCGGCGCGTCAACCTTCGACAACTCCGGCCGCCGCCACAGCGCGGCGGATCTACTGTTCTTCTGGCGTCGACCACCACATCGCTGGATTCGAAGCAATCCGCCATCGGAGTGATTTTCCGGGACCATATCGGGCAGTTCCACCACGCGATGGTGAAGGATCGACCGCCGGTGCCGGCGCTCTGGGCAGCCCGCAGCTGCTTCTATTAAGCGGAATCGGGCCGAGGCTTTACCTATCTTCTCTGGGCATCCCGGTGGCCCACCACTCCCCCTACGTCGGCCAATTCCTCTTCGACAATCCAAGAAACGGAATCTCCATTGAGAGAGGCGGATAAGGAGAGACAGAGCGAGGGGATAGATCTAGGGTTTAAGAGCGAAGAAAGAGAAGCAGCGTGGAGGAATAAATGCAAATAGAGAAGGGCAGTTGTGACATAAACGAGAGGGGGTATATTTGTCTTTACACTACCCTTTTTTGGGTTTGAAAAGGTATTTTTAGGACGGAAAAAGGGAAGTGGGAAAATGGTTTTAGGACGGAGAAAGTACTATTTAATGAATAAAATATTTTAAATGCTATATAGAAATAACTTAAGTTTTAGTACTAATTAGTGCAAATATTTCTAAAAGATACCCATACATACGAAGTATGAACGAAAAGAGAGCAACTAAACACAATTTTATTTAACAACATTTGTTAATCCAACCCAAGCAGCAGATCAGACACACATTCAAAGTGTCTTTGCTACAGAAAGGACAACATTTACAAGAGCAGGTTAATAGCCACCACATAAAAAGCCAACAAGGCAACAACATCAAAACCAAACACATCATCAAGATCATGCTCGACTTTATTGAGGAAATGAAACAGCAGTAGAAGTTGATGAGTACAACTGTAATGCTTAAGCAGAGGCAAACTTCTCCTTCAACATCTGGGCAAACTCAAGGACCTTGTGAGGATGAGGGACAGACTTGGAGACACTCTCCCTCTCCATGCACCTCTTGGCCCAAGAAACCAGCTTGGGGCACTCTGCCTCAATGCTGAACTTGCCAAAGGTCTCAAAGACATGGAACCAGCTGTAGAATCCTACGAGAGAAACATCAACAAACCCAAACCTGTCTCCCCCAAAGTATGTCTTCTCTCCCAGTTCTCCTTCCAGCACCTTCAGGTGTCCTATGAACTCCTTGTTGGCCGATTCCTGTTCCTCGTCCCCCTTTGCAGTCCATGTCTTCCTGCTAGACTCATAAATCTGCAACAATCATACCACAACACGAAATTATATAGTATAATACTTATTGGACGCGATTTAATGAAATATTTTTTTCAGAGAGACAATTCGTCGAGCACTTGGAGGGCATACCTTCTTGTCAATGAAGTCAGCCCAGAATCTAGCCTGGGATTTCTCGTAGGGATCAGAAGGGAGCAGCTGGGACTTGCCCTTCCAAACCTCGTCAATGTACTCCACTATGATCGTTGATTCGCAGACGGGCTTGCCGTTGTGGACGAGAACCGGAATCTTCTTGTGAACCGGGTTCATCTTGAGAAGCAGATCGCTCTTGTTCCGGAGGTCCTCGTCCCTGTACTGGTGCTTGATCTCCTTCTCCGCCAGGGCGATTCTGACCCTCATCCCGAACATGCTTGGCCAGAAATCCAACAGTATCACTTCATCCTGAGCCATTTTTTCCCCACCCCACGAGAAAGAAGAAAATGAAGAGAACGGTGGCCACAGGTAGGAGACGGAGCATTAAATAGATAGGGAGGTAGAGAGGGAGGATAAGTAGGGGCAAATGTGGGAAACCACTGAGGCCTACCGATTCGGACGGTTGTCTATTCTCGCGAAGGATCTAGCGACTAGTGTGGAGCAATTTAGATTTTTAAACAAAGAAAGGTTTGAACATTTACTCCCTCCGTCCCTAAATATTTGTCACATTTGTATTTCAGAGGTAAAATGTAACACCCTAATCTGTCCAGGTCTGCAGCTACATTCGAACTAAAGTATTTAACTTGGTAATCGTAAAAATTTAAAACTTTTCAAACACACTTTATTAATCCCAATAATATTTTTCAATACATATACAATACGGAGTATTCAACAATATTGCGGAAGCGATTTTAATATTGACATATCATAAATTGTTTCAAAACTTGTCACATCCATCCCGACAATCTCGCCCCATCTGCCGCCAGGATCACATTCTGCTTTCTGCTTACCTGCGTGTAACAAATAAAACACACTACACGCTCAGCGGTAAAGCTGAGTAAGCATATCTAATGCGTCGAACATCCATATAAACTGAATCTAAATTCATAATCAAATCATTTGATATCATGCACACAATGTTCATTTCAGACATTCACAGTTTTGGTATTGTTCAGTTCATATCAATACATTTTATTCAATTCAGATACTATTTCAATAGTGCTCTTAAATTATTCTTAATCTAAGGCCAGATTATAACAATGCTCTTAGCTATTCTTAGTCTAAGGCCAGATCATAACAATGCTCTTAGCTATTGTTAGTCTAAGGCTAGATCATAATTTCTATAACCAGATTCTTAAAAGGCAATCATTAATCAGACACTTAAACTATCATTAGTTTAAGGCAATCGATTTCGGACACTTAACTGCAGTCAGTTAAGGCAATCAGACACTTAAACTATCACTAGTTTAAGGCAAATGATTCGGACACTTAACTGTAGTCAGTTAAGGCAACAA